GTGTCGTGTAGCCCTGCGAGAGGTAACCTCCGTAGCCGCTTTTCAAAAGTCTGAAAAAGAAGAATTATCACCGAGCGATAGACGCTCCGACGACCACTCTACATATCCCCGATTCACTCTGATAAATTTCATCGGCGAATCTTTTTGTCCCGGATAATTTATGATTCGTCGCGAGGAGTCGCAGCCGCGGTCACCGGATCGCGCGAAAATTCGCCTGCTTCACATTGCGCGTCCGCGGGAGCGTATTTTTTTTTTCAACGCGTTCGGCAACGCTGCGCGCAGCGGAGCGATCGACAGTCATCGATGATCGCGAAAGGGTTGTCGATACGCTAGATTGCGCAAAGAACATTTCAGGTAGCGGACCAACCCCCCCCCCCCCCCCCGTTCCGGGGTCCCATCTGTCTCTCGTCCGCGGCGCGGCACAAAAAGGCCTGCTCCGCGCCGAAAGGGTTACGCGACTCAGGTAAATTTTTATCGTTTTCCGTTATAGCTTCCGTGGGAAGCGCCATTCATAATTCTCGTCCATTAAAAACTGTGTCTGTATTTATTATTGTCGCGACCCATTTCCATGTTCCGGGTGCGCGAGGGCCCGGCCCCTGGTTTCAACCCTTTCGACATCCGATCCGCGAACCTTTTGGGGTTGATTCGCGCTCAGGCGCTTCCTCAAACATAGGAAATAGGTCACGCAACGCGCCAAAAAATCCCGACAATGTTGTTTTGCAATTTTCGGATGCGGTGAAACTACACTGTAAAAAAATTATCGGCGTTTTTACCAAGGTCCGTTGGTACCTTTACCATCTCACTTTTTTACCAATTATTGGTAATTTTACCAAGACAGCTAGTAAGCTTACCTAAAAACCGGTATTTTTACTGTTTCTTTTCAGGTAAGAATACCACTTTTATTGGTAATCAATTCCCGGTAACTTTGCCATTTTATCTCGGTAATTCTACTACAGTCGATAAAAAATATTGGCGTTTTTACCGGAATCCAGTAAGAATTACCGAGAAAGTCAATAATTTCACCTAGATTTCTCGGTAAAATTGCCAATTCCATAAGCGGTAATTTTACCAAGAAAAAACTGGGATCAAATAGAACCCTGAATTCTTGGTAATTTTACCCTTTTCTTAGTAAATTAACCGAGATTTTTTTTTCTGTGCACGTATCTCGGTTTGCGACGTTGTGGACCTCCTGTCATACCTTAATTTTTAAATGGAAAACTACTCAACGCAAATTTTTGAAAACTTCCGTGTGAGATAACTAAAGTTAGTTGCGTTTTGGTCATTGGCTGCAATATTGCAGATTTTGATTGATCTCGGAGAGTAGATTCAAATTTTTGGAATTTGATACGAACTGCTGCCAATGGTATGCATCAAAACTTCAGAATTTATTGTTTTATGCTCACACCGATTCCTCTTGCGATATCCAACATATCGACAGTGAAACTCTCAAAGCACGTATCTCGTTTGCGGTGTTCAAAAATATCCGCTCCTGCTTTATTCTTTAAAGGAGGACAAATCAACACTACTGCCGTGCTGAGGAAGAACGCCGTATGAGCCTTCAGAGGTGGTCATGTTTCCTTCAACAAAAAACGAATGCACCGGAAAAACTGTGACTGTTTCTCTTCAACTTTTTCAGATAATTTTGTTCGCACTTTAATCTAAAATCTCTGAAAAGTTCAAGGCAAAGTGAACGTAACTTTCCTCAGAAATACGTGTTTAATCCGGGGAAATTCGGCAACTCTCGACCGTTCATACGGCGTTTCTCCTTACCGCGACAGTGAAGTTTTCACAGAATTTCTCTCGCAATGAGGGGAAAAATCCCGAACGTTTTTATGAATTGACGTCGAGTGATTCTTCATTTTAAAAAATCAAGTATCACAGGAAGTCTACAACGCCGCAAACCAACATTCGTGGTTCGGTAGTTTCACCGTCAATATTCTGAAATTCTCCCGACGTCACCATCTTACGAGAGTCACCACCTTAAAGCCCTGGATAGACGATCAAATTCCCGAACCAATTCCGATCAAAGTAGCATCAAAGTGTCGGAAGTCATCGGTCTCAAACTCATTAATTTGCTTCATTTTAACATGAAAACTTGGCAGAAATGTTTCCTGTGGCAGGAAATGATGAATGGTGGCACTCCATTCTGATTTTACTTTGAACAAATAAAAACGGCCAGTCAAAATTTGATGGTAGATGGTGACCACCAGTCATCAGCATGTGTACTTTGATCGGAATTGGTTCGGAATCTGATCGTCTGTCCAGGGCTTAACCGAGATCGACCTATCCCCGAATAACATCGAAAACCGCGGCGCCTCAACATAAATCGGACCCGATTAAACATTCGGGGATTTGTTTCCGCGTAATTAAATACGTTGGGCACTCGGCTTGCGAGTGTATTCCCACGGCTCCGAGCAAAAACGACATATATGCCTCAGGATCTCATTGCCGTTGCGTGTTTCTTCCTCCAGCGGGCAGATTTACGGGGTTGAGCCACTCATGACACTGTGTCGACTCGGGGGCGAATACGCCGTTTTCAGCAAAAACGACTTTTCCGTGTAGGCTTTCACGTTAACGTTGCGTTGTTTTGGATTAGGGCGGGCGGAATCTAATTAGGTTGCGGAGATTCGGACGATCCGATTCGTCTTTTGCCGCTCATAAAACACCGGCTCCACGCAACGGAGTAAGCTCCTCTAATCCTCCGGCTTTGGTCCGGGCCTCCACGCTGCAAAAACCGCGGATATTCAAGGGGGTTGTTAGCGGGGTTAGGTGGTTTTTAACCTACGGGGCAGCACGTTTCCCGGGGCCGACGTAAGCCGCCCGGTAAATTAAAACACGCATCCGTGCTGCCGAGCTAAGGAAGAACGTCGTATGAACATTTGAGAGTTGCCAAAGTTCCTTCGATAAATTGTTTATTTTTTAGGAAAGTTATGAATGTTTTTCCTTGAGATTTTCAGGATCTTCAGTTAAAGTTGCGAACTAAATTATCTGAAAAATTGGGAGGAAAATATTCATAAATTCAGCAGGGAATTTGCGTTAGATCAAAGGAAATTTGGCAACGCCTGAAGGTTCATACGGCGCTCTTCCTTAGCACGGCAGCGTAGCCGGGACCCGGGTCTGAAGATATTAATTCCGTCCTTCGAATATTTAAATCGGGCCCCTTGTTTGGTTTTCGGCTGAGCCGAGATGCTCCCTTGTTTTCGGGGGACCACTCATTTTGAGTATGGCGTGTAAATGCCATTCGAGATTTGGACTGTGTTTTGAACTTCGGAACCACTATTACAGGCTTATTCATATACGGAAGTATCTATGCACACGATACCTGATGGAACATATTTCGTTTGTAAAATTTGCCAGAAATTTTAATTTGTCATAGGAAATTTTAGTTTATATGCAGAGCTTCTTGTGAATTTTAGGCACAAGAAAACTGATGTCTATCGAGCCGCCAAAAACATATAATTTTGAAAACTATACCTCCGAAACGCGCTTATCAGCAGAAACAAACGCAATATAATTTAAATACCCCGCATTGCTATGCGTACAGGCATATTCATGAAATCACAAATCTGCGAAAGAGATGTAATGGAAGGAACATATCGTCACCTTCCAGGCAAAGTATCACAAGCGCCATGCGACGTTTAAAAATTTCCGCCGCCATTTTATTTCTTTACTGAGAAACTGTTGGTTGAATCTGTTTGGAAATTTCACCAAATTTTATCGGCAGCACAAAGAAAATTCCTTGAAATTTTCGGACAGCTTCGTTGAACAATTTCTCTGTAAAAAAATAAAATGGCGGCGGAAATTTTTAAACGTCGCATGGCGATTGTGATACTTTGTCTGGAAGGTGACGATATTTCTTTTTTAAATTTTAACAGAAATTTTGAAACGCCGCTGTTGAGGTACGTGATTTTGAACTTCGGCCGTCGATGTACATATTTGCTATCTCTGAAGTTTAAAATTTAGTTTCGGAAACTAACGCTCAGATTCGTCAAATTTATCACATAATATAAGACAATTTACGTCATACCTCAAAAATCTGGATAGAACTAGCTTATTTCGGGACATATTAGAAAGATATAGAAAAAACTACGACGAAACGAAAAAAAAATGGAAGTTAAAGAGCGTATAGTAATGGAACAAAATATGATCGGAACTTCGTTATTTTGACCAGAAATGTTCGACTTTGAACACGGAAAATGTTCCGTAGGATGAGCGCTATGAGGCGGATGGTCAGAGTGGCGCCATGTTTGAGAATGTGACGGAAGTGCTTTCAGTTTTGATACCATTGGCTGGGAAGTCCGGAGTCTGGGCCTTGGGTCCTGGGCGTTGGGCGCTGCTGGGCGCTGGGGAGGAGAACATTATGCAAATCTGATGACCGACCAACAAAACTACAAAATCGATAGCAGGAGAGGGCGAGTCAATTAAACTTTTCCCCCCGAGGCAGTGACGCCAAATCAATACAAAATTTGATTTTTTCTCACCTTCGTGAATATTTCAGCTCGTCTTACGAAGGAACGTAACTCCATTACAAGGTTTTAAAATTGACTCAAACAATTCAATTTTTTACAAGAAATTACCTGCGCAATTGAATCAATGAGAACGAAAACACACGAACTCGGTAACTCGAAAATTCTCAATTTCCTTTAAAGACAGTTAATTTACAAAAAGATCATTGAAGTTAGCGCATCTGTCCCAACTTGGACCTTTAAAGTGTCCATCAGTACTTGTCTTTCGGCAGCAAAAATCTTTTTCTGGTAACTTCTTCAATCATCGTGCAGTTTTGAGCGTGTGTCGATTATTTTCATTTTTCTGAGTTGGTGTGTTTTCGTCCTCACTGATTGGATTTTCGTTTAATATTTTTTTTTATTTTCAAGGAAAAACTCGATCGACTGATCTCATGTCGATATCATGCCGTGAGAAAGTATTGTCACTGATGCGACATAGTAGGGTAAAATTTCATATATCATTAGATTCTTATTCTTCTTTCTCTTTTTTTTCAGATCAATAGAAAGCAGCCGTTTACTACCCAAAAAAGAAGTAGGAATGTGCGAAAATGAGGGTGCGATCTCACTTGTTTTGGATCGCACTACAAATCTTTCGAGTTTCCTTTAAAACTCCGCACCATGATTTGCATTTATAACCATCAAAATCGCACAGTGGCCTCCGTATAACACAAGAACATGAGCAGGCTTGACGGACTGAATCGCCAATTTTACTCTTGAATTTGGGTGGATTTTGGAATTTTCCGGTAAGCAAAGCCAAAAGCACAGTATAATAACAATTAGCTGCTGAAATATGAAAATGTCAATGACAAAAAAATCAAGTAAAACACCGGGACGATGCAAGGTGCGTTCCAGACTCATTTTCAACAGGAGGAAATGAAGGAAAAATAGTTGTTGATACGCTGAAATTGCAAGACTGAGACCGATTACAGAGTCTCATCAAGTCGGTTACTTTACTTCATTATTTGTTTTGATCTTTTAAATTTTTCAGCAGCCTTTCCCACTTTACTTTGTTATTTTATTGTTTCAATGGTCTTCGACAAAATTCTCACTTTTTTGGTTCATTGCAAACATGATGGTAAATTTAGGATGAAATAAAATAATTTAAATAATACACTACCAGATCATTGCTTTCTCGCCAGTCATTCGTTCCCTTCAGAAAAATATCTGTGCCCATAATTTTTTTAAAGGAAGTCATTTTCCGAAAGTACGGAGCTTCAAAGAATTTGTTAATATTTTTTGAACCCTAAATGACATCAAATCCCGTTTTGAAAATACCACAAATGGACCTGTTTTGTAATCATATTTTTGGTGGGCTCTGCTAGCATACCAGACGGAGGAAACGGTGCGCGGTGGCGTTTACCTATTGGCTGAACTCAGCTTTAACCATGAACGCAGGGTTTTTCATAAAATCTGGCGCACGAAGAACTATAATGAAACCTTAGAAAAATGTCTTGCCACTGCTCCATTTCGCCACGCAGACCAACGAAGCGAAACTCTTGATGCCGGCGCAGAGATACAACTATTCGAGCTCGATGGATGTCCGTGTTGCGTCTGCAAAGTTGAAGGCGCGATGCCGCGAGACGTGAACTCGCAATGCTCCGGTCTATGTTACCAATGATTTTCGCGTAGATTTGGGGGAAAAGTTAAAAATTGAGGCCGTATTCCATCTTTCCTATCTTCGGCTGCGCTGTTCACGTAACCTTCGAAACAGTACCACACAGAATATAAACGGAAACAAACACATTTTGGAAATAGAGCCGAAGAAAGGACGCGCGTTGACGACGGCGCAGAGATACAACTATTCGTACTTGATGGATATCCGTGTCGTATCCGCAGAATTGAAGGCGGGTAAACTCGCAATGCTCCGCTGTATACTTGCATTACTGCTAATGAAGTGTCACTCTTGGAAATTAAAAAACAAGGCCGTATCGCGTGTTCCCTATATCTGTCGTGGAAACCAAGATTTTATCTTTTGAGCTATCAAGTTTGAAAACTTTCGGTATGCATGAATTAGAGTCCCTTTATACTGAGAGTCAAGACAATGTGAATCCATTTCTGATTGGTTCCCGTATTTTAGGCCTTCACAGTGTCACAAACGGGAATAAAGATTACATTTTCACCGACTACAAAGATTATATTCTGGAATGGACCAGGGAATTACGGGTTCGGCAAGGAACAAACGGAATGAGAGAAGGAACGGAGAAAGGAATTTGAGAATGGGCCGATCAAAGATTACGAAAAACGTTCAATTTCTATAATCTTTATTCCCGTTTGTGACTTCATGAGGGGGTGTTGTCTTGACTCTCAGTATAAAGGGACTCTAGCATGAATCTCGACCGATGGTCGGTTTCTTTAAATTGGAATTTACCTACATTTTTACGCTGCAAAATTTACTTCTCTCTATTGTATTTTTACTGAAAAACTTACATTTAATTTGTTTAAACTTAAGGAATATCCGACAATATTGAAACGTTCAATACCAAAAATACCCGTGTGGAGTGCCACCGTCGATATGGCAACAGCGCATGACATTCTCTCAACTTTGTTACTTTTTCCACTCGCGGTCCGACGTCCACGGCCGCGCTGGCGATCTGCGCCCCTCCCACCCCCTTCCCGCCATCCCCTAAACCCTCACCCCTCTTCCTCCATTCATCCCTCGACCGCCCGCCCCTCGGACTTACCTCCCACAACCACCCCCTCCCTCGCAGAATCGACCCTCCTCGACTTCCAATCTTTTCTTCCATGTTTTATTTTTCATTTTTATTTGGTATTCCACGTTCTTGTCGCGTTCGGATCTTTCCGTAAGCGTAAATGACCGTTTCAGGCTTAAATTCTTGACTCATTACGACGCGTGGAAGCATCTATATATATTTTTTTTGGAAAGAGCTAAACATTTCAATTGGTTTCTCTGGCTCTGAATTATGTATAAGGCAAGCTGAAAATTAGTGCATTTAAATAAAAAAGATACACATAATAAAAGTAGTTGATTTAAATGAAAATGAGCAGTGTGCCATTGTACCTAATGAGTAGAGTTTGTTTGTTTTGAGAGACTTTGATGAACAAGACATTGAAAGACTTTCCAAAAATAATGAACTTCATGTAATATGAAATTTAAGAAGAAATGCGAAGAGCTTTGTAAAGTTCTTTTTATTAGTTCCAGTGTATACTTCGATTTTTTCCTCTACAGTTCGAAGTATTCCTTAACCAAATTAATTTAAAGTCGTGATGAAAAAACAATAAAACGCTTCAAGAAATTGCATCCCTTCGCATATGATTCAACTAGAAAAACGTACAGCCCACGATTTTTGTTTTATAACATCACGGCATAAAACATATCATTCTGCTCATGACTGGACTGCATTTTGCACTTTGGAACTATAAATTCTGGCTCTTCTGGAAAAACAGTTTTGTGCATAGGGAAACTAATAGCACATACGTTGTTTCTAAACCGTGCTAGAATTTATAGTTCCAAATTGCAAAATGTAGTCCAACTAAGGCTGTTCATATTCTAAAACCTACAAATAGACTATATTTTGCAATTTGGAACTATAAATTCTAGCCCGGTTTAAAAACAACGTATGTGCCATTAGTTTCCCTATACACATAAGTGTTTTTCCATAAGAGCCAGAATTTATAGTTCCAAATTGCAAAATGTAGTCCAAATATCCAACCTAGTTTTATTTTTAACTTCGAGTAAATAGCTGTCGCTCGAATTAATCCATAATGAATCTAGTTTTCGTAGAACTGAGGCTCTAAGAATCGAGAAAATTGTGTTATACCGCTTTGGAAAATTTTGCAAGTTGACAATTAATGGAGCCGAAATCTCGACGACGGGGAGCTCGGAGCTGGAGCTGTGGTCGGTGGCGGGAGATTTTTCGCGCCGTCCCCGGTCTTGGGTGTTGATTAATCAACTAACGGGTCTGGTCCGCAGTTTTGTCTGCTTTTGAAACGCTTGTTTGAATAATTATCGACGGCGCGGATAACGGAACCACCAAGTCAACATCACCCTCCCCCGACGCCACGCCACCACGTTGCCACTTTAATTGGTATTTAAAATCACGAACGGGCTTCATTCTAAAATTGGGTATTAAAATTTCTGGTTCATCTGGAAGAATACATATCGACGGTGTAAGTCGGTAATCACATAACTCGATTTGCGACGTCGCAAACTTCCTGTCATACTTTAAGTATTTTCAAAACGGAAAACTACTCAACGGCTATTCTTTAAAACTGCAGTGATTTTTCTTCTTTATGCGAAGAAAATTCTTCAAAAACTTCAAGAAATTATGTCAATTTGTTCTCCTTTAAAAAAATAACACAGAGGCGGAGATTGTCAGACACCCCAAACGAGTTATGTGATTGCCGACTTACACCGTCGATATGTCGCAAACAATTAATTAAATCAGCCATTTCATCAAATGCCTGGGAAGATAGTCAAATTTTGACAAATTACAAAATTTTGTAAAATGGGGAAGAGCTCTCGAATTTTCAATATTTGAGGAAAATAACTCAACGAATCTACGAACTCTTCTCGTTTCTTCCTCTACCAAATGCCTCTCATATATTTAAAATTTTAAACATTCTGTATTTTATGATATGCTGAAAATTTCAAGATAAAACTTCGTTTAGGAACTAAAAATCGTTTAAAATACCATCGTATGATGCATATATTTACAGAGAATTCTTTCTTACGAGAGCAATGATTTATTTTGTCGAAAATGGGGAAAGAATCAGGATTTCAATCCAAGTAGAAATATTTGACCATTCATCTAAGCATTTCACAAAATGCCTGATTCTGATTTTACTGTTTGCCTGTGGCACATACGTAATATTTTACACGTTTATCCTGAAATTGCGTTGAACTTTATGAGACGTCAGGTGAACAGCATTTCGCAATTCGGAACTATAATTTCTGACTTATCAGTAAAAACACTTATGTACATAGGGAAACTAATGGTACATGTGTTGTTTCGAAACTGAGACAGATATTTTAGTTCCTAATAGCAAAATGTAGTCCAAATGAGCGGTCAAGTACACAAGAGTATGATCCTATGTTACGGAACGTTCCGTAACGATCTAAAAAGATGTGCAATCTTTTAGGACCATGTTTGATTGGAAAAACAATGAAAGTAAGTGGAGGAGAGAATTCTTTCTGTAGTTACGGATCTCAACTGACTAAAAACTCCTTTAATTGCTGTGATACTTCACTGCCGACGTTAAAGTTAAAATATTTGTATCATTTCACCTTAAAGCGCAAGAATGGATCACTAAACAGTGAGCACTAAAGCACATGTCTACCAAAATTTCACGCAGAACTTGATAGACGTATCTAAGAAGTTCAAAATAAACTGATTGGTGAGAAAAAAAAAGATTGTAATTTAAATTATAAACGGTAAATTCAAACGTCCCGCTTGCGAAAAAACATGACCGACGTAGGCCTATTCAGGCATTGAAATCAATCTTTACGCTTGGCAAAACGTAGCCAAAAATTGCTATTTTCTAATTTTTACTTAAATTTGTAAATTTTAGAGCATATATCGTGTTGTACGTAAAACATCGATGAGGAAATGTACATCATGGTTTTTAATCTCGTATCCTCACTAGTGGTCCAATCAATACGACAAATGAGAGGTTAAGTACGTTCAAATCCTAAGTGAGACAAAAGTGCGAGATTGCGTTACGAGAAAAAAAGTAACGTCTTACGGAGCGTTAAGTAAATACCTAAAAACAAAAATATTTTCGGACCAAATTTCATTAGAGAAACTATGATAGCATAAGTGGAGGAGAGAATTCATTCAGAGCTACGGATTTCAAGTAACTAGAAACGCCTTCAATTAATGTGATACTTCACCGCCGACACTGGAGTTAAAATATTTGTATCCTTTTCGCCGTAAAGTTCCAACTGTCTCCTAGTGACTCTTTTTGATTTTCTCGAGTATTTAAAGGTTCCTCAAGCTCTTTATAGTGAGCTTTGATGGCTTTGAAACGACCT